ACGGGAAATGACTCTATAGTGAAACGTTGTACACAATGAAAATTTGTAATTAGAATAGAAAGTTTTACCCCCTGTCCTCTCCTGAGCTGTGTTTGGCTTTCCACAATGCTCTCCTTTGCTAATGTTTTACACTGGCAATTTTCGTCAAGCCATTTGTGAGTTTTCAATACGCAAAAGAAAAAAAGTGGTTGTTATCTTTAAAAAAATTTTGAATGTTTTCACTGTAATCGTAACTATGAGCGCTGTGTAATTTGAAGTCATCATCTCGAGCGTATACCTTTAAATAACTAATAACTAATTATATCTGAAATTTCATTTCTGAGCGGATAGGTCGTTAGAGATTCATATATGGGGGAAGAGTGTTTATGACCACCCTGTATATATGAGGTCATTTACATCCATGCACCTTTCCTTCGTTGGGAAAAAGAAAACATTTAGTAGTTTCATTCCAAGAATGGTAATTGATTAACAAAATATGTTTCGTATTGAATGTGTTCAATGTACAAAACTCATGTATGTGAGACCATCTTATATACAAGCTCCTTCTTTCTTGCTGTAAGAAAATACTAGGCTTACTGCAAGACAGGGTACACGAGCAGGAAAACATTTACTGTTTTCATCTAAAGGCATAGTATTTAGTTCCGTTATTGGTCTTTCTTGTTGAATATGTTCAATATACAAAGAGTATTTGCGTGAGGCAAATTCTCTTTTTTTTCAGTTGTATAAAACGATGAGAAATGCTAAGTTATCTTCTGGAGGAAGCAATCTTATAGGCTACCCAGTGTGATAAGTGTATTGCTAACAAGCAGAAAAACCGTAGAGTTGTCATATCTAATTTAATATTGAAAAGTAAAAGTTATATATGGCGTATAAAATATAGCGAATACGAGAAAGAAGTATGGTTGAATTTTTGCAATCAAAATGAAGCATTGTGAGAGAGTACCAGATTAAAATGTACAGTTAAAATTACATCTGGATATTTTATGAAAAATGAGATAGCTATGCTGTAAATCGTGAGTAGAAAGAACTGTATGAGAAAAAAATGAAATGCATTAGGTGGCTTCAAGAATGTTGAAGGCTGCTCAATCAAAAATTATATTGGTGATACAATGTTCATTGTAGCATCATACACAGATTGGAATCATCATAAAAGTCATCAGATGGTTTTCAGGGTAGACATAGGTTTTGTTCAAGGAACACGATTTCGAAGACATGTCAAACAGAAACTATTGCAGTGAGACAATATTCACCGTAGAAACATACATAGACTGGAATCAACATCAAAGCGATTAGTCAGTTCCAGAAAACATACAATTGGTCAAGGATCACGTTTTGGAAGCCAGGCCTGTGGAAACTATTGTAGTCAGACAATCATCACAGTAGCATCGTACGCAAACTAGAATCATTATCAAAACTAATATAAAACAGCTTCCAGGAGACATAGGTTTGGCTCATGAATCACGTTTTGTATCAACACTTAAAAGAACCCTTCAAGCTTAACAGCTCCTATGTGTCCGTAAAAAAAACATTTCGCAGCAAATATATCGCGGGCGGAAACGTCGGAAGGAAACTAACGCAAGGCGAAACCGTTGTAGTACAAAACGTCGTGGAAGAAAATAAAGCAAGAAGAAAACATCGTAGCACAAGACGTCATCATCAAAAATAAAGTGGTTAAAAACAGTTTGTAAACAGTCCTCAAAAATATCGTGGTAAAACATAAAGCACCTACAAATCATCGCATAACGATAACATCGCAAACATGCGTTTCTAAGGTGTTAAAATATGTAAACGTTGTAAATATTTATATATATGTTTCATGTTTTCGAATTTACCGAAATTTTTCCTGAAAAACTGAAAATGAGTAGAAAAATAATCCTAAGTATAACAGTTAATAGAGTTTTAAACTTATATAGTTTATTGATGAAGGTCATTAATTAATCTCTTTTACAAAGTTTAATTGGTAAAATTTCATTCAAAATGAAAAAAAAATTAAAAAGATTGGGAAAAGGAAAATGAGTAACTGCATGGGGTTACCTCTATCAAAACTGCTTAATTAATTATCAAGTTATAAAATTTTGTCAGTTGTTAATATTGCCCTTAGTTTTCTACTCATTTTCTGTTTCTGAAAGCTTTTTAATTTTTCAGCAAAAAAGTTATTAATTAATTCAAAAATATAAAAACAAAAATGTTCCTCATTCATTCTTGCGCTCACAAATGGTTATGCAAATATGCATTTACAACTTTTAAAGCCTGAAAAACACATGCCTGCGCTGTTATAATCATGCAATGATTTGAGGTGCTTTAGCTTTTACCACGATTCGATGACGACAATTTTAAACTGCGAAGTTTATGAATAGCTTTATTTTCGACGACGATGTTTGGTAATACAATGTTTTAGAACTGCAATGTTCTCTCCTTGCTTTGTATTCCCCCACACGATATTTTGTACAACGACGTTTTCATCTTGCGTTGTTTTCTATGCAATTTATGTCCGAAATGTTTTCGCCTGTAACCTAGCATCTCCAGTGAGACCAATACCTCCACAAACTCTCTCAGATTTCATAAGAGTAGATTTCATGTAGCGAAATATTTTTTATATTCCGTTTTCGAGTTATTTTGTGAGATGAAAACTCCTCAAACTATGAATTCTTTAAAAAATCCTTTTCAGAATGAAGATTTATTTTTTAATTTTCAAAATGTATATATGACGATTTATTAATAAAAATTTAATTAGTTCTCACTTTTACTTTTCTTTAAACTGCTTCTTTACAGCAATTAAGTAACATTCTTCCTAACAAATTGAAGAAACTCAGATCTACTACATACAGCTTATTATTTTCTCAGTTATTGCTGTCTCAAGCAAAATTAACCTTTTTTTCTTCTTTCTATGTATTTCTTTCTCCTGATGAGGAGGGACCTTTAGCTGCCCTCGAAATCGATTGAGTGTTTCATTATACCTACGCTAAATATAAGGTTGTTTTTTACGGTTTTGATTGTCACATTAGCGTGTTTCTCTTCTAGTCTAAAATTAACCTTACCTGAATACAACGCTGAAACGTTAATGATAATGTTTGACATCATTTGAGAATTCATAATGGATACGTATACGTATAAGGATGATTGCATTCAATATACTTAAATTTTTCTTTGACAATCTTCATTCAAAATCTGCATTTGTTTGTAGCTCAATGATTTTATTTTCAATTGCATATGGAATATTATAAGAGAATATTATAAGAGATAAATATTGGTTTTAAAAACATTCAATGAATTTACCTAAAATCGTATAATTTGAAAAATATTTTAAAACACTTTATCATGTTCAGTGTATTAGAATGTGGTTACTTTTACATTAGTTACTTTTTTCAGCAAAGTTATTATTTCCGGAGAACGAAACAAACTGAGGCATGTGGCTTCGCTTTATAAACTGTTTATTTGTTAATTACGCACATATTATCAGATGCGAAGTACCTTCGCAGTAAAAAAAAAAAGTCTTTTACATTTCTAACTTTATTGCTTCAATCTCTTTCCAGATTTATGCATGAATAACTAGGTATTTCTTTCCGGGGTTTAATTAGATTGGCCGTTTCCTTGTAGAAGCAGGCTTATGCTCCATACCAAATTTACATGCTAAACTTAAATCACTTTTCCTGTGATAACTGCAAGCTCTGAGGGAAGGTTGCTTCACAGATTGCAAAAATCTGAAGGGAAAAAAAATCTCTGTTACGGAATTAGTTACGCATAATTGCCTCATCAACACTAATATAATCAATTAGTAATCGAAGTGCAGAAAGTTTCAAAACACTATTTTAATGCAGGTTAATTTACTTTTCGAACAGTACGAGAATTTTTTTTTAATATTCTCATTTCCAGTAAATGTATCGAAGACGATAGACTTCCTTTATCATGGTGTTAATTTTCCTCATCAATTTATGCCTCGTATGTCTAATTTAATTATATTTTTCGTGGAAATTTCGTAGAAAATCTCGTTTAAATAGTATCCTAATGTTGATGAAGGTAATGCAAGAAATTTTGGTAAGATTTGTCTAAGCTGCTTCTGTATGTTTAAAGTGGTTTTATAAAAGCATTGGATTGCTGCTACAAGTATTTCTTTACAATATGTTTTATCGCTTCTTTTTCCTCTTAAAATATCATTAAATTGTATCTTTCGCTATGGTTGGGATGAGTAAATGGTTTCTTAGGATTACATTTTATGGTCGTTTTTGATTTTATTCAGAATTTTCAAAATTAAATTTCGGTTTGCAGAAACTTCAGTGAATGTGTTTTTAAACAAATGACTGTAACCTAAATCAGTAAAATGCTTAATATTCCTTCGAAGTAATGCTCATCGTTTCGAATGCATTTTTAACAATGATTGCATAGTTTCTAAAAACTGCGGGCAAAGTCCTCTTTCGGTATTCCATGGCGAATCCTTGTCACGGGGCTTTGAATGTCCGGAATATCCGAAAATCGTTCCTTTTTAGGGCTTTTTAAAGTGCAGCAACGGAAGGAAATCTACTGGAGCAATAACAGATGAGTGCAGTAGAGGATTCAAGACTACAACTCCCATATGAGCCATAAAATATTTCATGACGATGGATGAATGTGGTCAGGAATTTTCATAGAAAAGAGTCCTCGGAGAGTCCAGAGTATGGCGTCTTCCAGACATACAAATCGAAAGCTTTGCAATACATCTGCCAGACATCCTTGTATGCGTTAATACTCGGTGATGCATTTTCGATATTTTTGCCACGACAAGTAGTAGGCTTATCAGTTAGCATCGTCTTTAATGTAATTCCATCCATCCCCAGAACTTTTAAATTTTCATAAATGCACTTTAAATATAAGGGAATTTTAAACTTTTCAAATTCCGTAGTGTGTAATTTTTCCTTGTGGTTCTTTTAAGATTTATTAACTACTCTTTTTAACACATTTTAACTATCAAGATTTCATATTTAAATGTCTTTTCTGTATCTCATTTTGTTTTGTTTTATTTTTAGCCTGACCAGAACGATAACCAAAACGAGAGTTCACTGGTCTATGCTAGTTTGGATCTGCCGAATCCAGTTCCTCAAACAAGAAATGGACAGTCAAAAGTCAGGCACCAGCCGCTACCTCGGAGGGACAGAACCGAATACGCAGAGATACAATTTCAGCCGAAGACTTACGAACAAGCTTCTCTCTAGTGTCTATTTTGCCAGTGAAATCCATGTGTGCTCTTTTTATATTTCCAAAAGAATACATTTGAAGAACTTGTACATTCCATGCCGTGTGGGCTTCCAGAATGAGGACCACCAGGAACCCAGAGCTTGTATCTGATAGAGACAAACATTTAGTTCGTGTTCCACAGAAAACACATTGCTTATGATGTCGGATTCTCTAAGTGTGTATATATGCTACAATTTCATTTGCTATATCATTCGCATAAAGATATTCAAGTTTTATAATATTGTTTTAAATTTATGCCATCTTCTAGCTCTCGCATGTAAGTTCTAAGTAGCATCAACAATCATGAAGTATTTCAAATTCAAACTTTTGATGGAATTATACCACGTAAAAAATCAACAGTATTTAGCACTTTTTTGTTACAGTTAGTTCATGTGATGTGTGTGTATGTATGTTGTGCATCCTTCGTGTGAACGAAATGTTTATGTTCTCATGTGTGGTATGCATGCTGATTGTTACTAAATATGATATGACTTGATTGCCTGAATGCCTATGGATGCGTATGTGTATGCATGTATATATATTGCTCAAAGTAGTCGGTAGGTGATACATTTTTTTAAAAAAATCACGTTTGTAATTTTTGGTCACTACCGAGCTTTCTCATTTTATATCAAAAATCTGCAAACTTGATGTCAGTTATTGTAACAGATATGTGGCTTTGCTCCAGCAGGTTTAAATGCGTACATTTTAAATTGTAAAATATTCAATGTAAACTATATTTTCTAAAAGAATTTTCAATTAGCAGTATTTGTTCTTATGAAAAAATAACATCAACATACTTATATGAACTTGCTTAATGCTGAACAGTATGTTTCGACTAATTCCAATTCTGAGAATGAATTTAGTAAGTTTACAGTAAGTGTTTGCAGTGGCATTAAAAGACAAATGTCGGTGCTGTGTGTTCTCATATGTCTTATGTTATCATTAAAAATGAAATATTTAATATTTGTTTCAGGGATTATTATTCTGTAAATAGCATAACTTTCTGATTTCTTTAACAATCCGCTAAAATCACATGTGCTTTTAGATCATATTTTTTATCTTTGAATCTGGAAAAATATGAACATGAAGCCTTTATTTGATATTTCCACAACATACCTAGTTTAATGAATATTAGTTAGTAACACCATCGTGATCTATTAGAACTTGTACAATTACATCTAAGTTTGAATTTGAAATTTGGTTGCAGTTTTTATATTTGTTATGCATACTTTTTAGCATATTTCAAACAAGTTGGAACCTTGCAAATTTATAGTAATTATTTAATGTTTGGCACTATAGATGTTATTTTACAATATTTTATCGTTATGGATAAATCAGTTTTGCATCGAAATTATTATAGTTTACATTATTTGTAGCTTTTCTTATATTTTACATTCATTCGTAACAGTTTATATTTATTCATAATCTAGAAATCATTTCATATATTTACAATCTGATGGGCGGATAAGCAAAATGTGTTCTTATGATTACACTAGATTAATATTTTTCAAAATTATACAATTGGTCCATTGTTAAAACTGAAAATGTTTTGCTATATCTTTTGCAATTTATTCACATGATCTGGAATTAGCTTTAGCATTTAGAATGCGTAATGAGATAAAAATATATTTACTTATTAACTGTATGATCCAGATTCACTGATCTGTTTATTCTGGGTTTGATCAAACAAAAACTTAAGACTAAAATTTTGAAAGGAATATTTAATTTTCTTTTATAATTTATATCTCTAAATGTGATGCTTTCTAACAACTAGTGAAAAATTATGCTAGTTTTCCTATAATTATTATTTCAGAAAATTATCTTTTGATTAATGTAATTGTAGCAGATAAGATTATCGCAAGTTGAATGTAAAGGTTGCTTTAATTTTCTCTTGTTGTTATTGTGGCAAAAAATACACTTATTTCTGCAATCAGTAGTTATGTTTTTGCTTTACCTCAACAGAAGTAAGTAATGTTTGTGAAAGATCTGCGACAAAGCTAAGTTTTCTCACCTTTCACCATTTATCAACTAGTATCTTTTATCTTCTTTCAAACATTTCAGTTTTTGCATGTTCCATTTGGTATTGTCGAGGGTTAATTAATGTTTATTAGATTATAAAAGGTTTTAATGTCAATTTACAAGTTATCTGAATCTCCTGAAAATTTGGAAAAGCTGTAAATTGTTAGAATCAATCATGATTTTCCATGAAGGTACCTTTAAACGTGATGTCACTGCATTTCTTTTTTTAAATATTCAAAATGTGGTAATATTTTATCTTATTGGCAACGCACGTACTCCAGTGAGATGTTTTTGAATGCACTACTGCTTATGGTTGTAAAACACATATTCATTTCTATAACTATTTTCCATTGGTTGCTTTGACACAAATCCTTTATACGTTCTTAATTCATCATTAATAATGTTTAAGGTTATGTGTTTATTCCCCCGTTATGGACGTGCACAATCATAAAAATGCTTTTCATTTTTTAACAATGGCATTAATGTAAGAAATATATATTTTTCATTCCAGAAATAATTCCAGTCTCTATAAAAATGATAGAATCCCGTTATATTGCAAGAAATTTCTTGATAAAACGTTTTGAATAACTAATGACTTTATTTATGATTTTGTTTATTTAGTAAAGTTATAAAAATTGTGCAATCACAATATTCCCGAAATCAGTATTTGTTCTATGTGATCGATTAAATAAGAAATTGATATTTTGATAATTATCAGAAGTTTCCTCTTTTATAAATATAAACTATGTATTGTGAACTTGCTAAGAAAGAAAGACTTGTCACCTATTTATCAAGTCATTAACATGCGCTGTTTTTCGTTTGTGTGCTACTCATCGTCTACGTTTTGCATTCAAAGTAAGTGTCTGAATGTCTGTTGATGAAATGATTTGTGAAAAGTTACTACTCGGTGTCTTGAATGCTCTTGTTAGTGGGAAGAAATCCTAAAAATTGTATCTTGTATTCCATGTACTGAAGACTAAAATGAAGATATAAAAATCCCGCCTGCAATTGTTGTGCTGTTTGCCTCAGTTCAGAGTTTCATGCTCGTGTTATGCAGCTATAGTTGTTCGCTTGAATGTGGTTGTAAAGGACGTTATGAAACTGTTACTGTTTCGAATACTTTAGTAACACAGTTCCAACGCTGAACTGTATGCAATGTAAATTAAATATGTCTTTTAAAAATCTATATTGTATAGATGTATTTACTTTTAGTCGAAGAAAAAATAATGACATTCAATTCTTTAATTTGTATTTTTCGTACTGAAATCTGTCGCTGGAATGAACATGTTCCCGAAAAATAAACTTATGGCACAGAAAATACTACATAATTCATCAAAATGATATTGAATAAGATATTTTTTGCTCATTGTTAACATTCAGTTATACCATAAGATGAAAAATATATTTCCACTTTTATGCTTTTTATATTAAAGAATCTTAAATATTAATGATTTTCGTTTTATAATTTATGTATTTTGCCGAATTTGTAAAATAAATTTGTATTATTTTTTAATGTTTTTATTTTGTATATTCGATTTAATAAAAGAAATAAGAATATAGTTTGGAAACTTTGTTGCAATATGTTGTGTATATATATTAAAGTTCTACCTTCCGTGAAGAAAAGAAAATTTTATTTTAAAAAGCATATGCAATTTCCTAATATTTTCTGTGAATTTGCGTCATTTGTTTAATAAGTCATTGAGATTTTAAGTTCTAGAAAGAAAATAAGAATTACGATTAAAATGAAACCTATTTATAAACATCGTAACTTTTTTAACCTTATTATCATTTCTGAAATAATTTTTATTAGAAAATTTTATAAAAATTAGTTTCCAAACACAAGAAAGTTTAAATTCAAACCTTGTTGCGTTTGGATGATAAACCTCGTATTCTATTGTAGTGGTAAACAACGCAATTGGATGTACTAAAGCCGTATTTTTCCTTGTCAGATTTTCCTGAAATTTCTCGAATAGTTAAAAAATGTATTATAAATTTGTGGAGTTCCACCCTTTTATCTAACAACTAAATGTGGAGGAATCTAGTGAGAGAATAATCGCTTAAGTTCAGGAACAGAAACGTAAACTCGAGAAGGGTTAATTTCGCTTAATTGCTCAAAATAAGAGTTGACATGTGGCCTTTTTCTCCGGGCGTACAGCAAAGCCTCCACTTAGGCTTGAACTCAAAATAGTGAGAAATAAGACTTAACTAATACTTAACTAATATATATAGCCGAAGATAGATATAGCCGAAGTTATCAAAATTCTAAGTAATTGGCCCCTAAATATCGACTAAGCTAGCGAAGATATCAAGGGCCTGTAATACGGCCGAGCGTAATAACAGCTTAGAGAGACGTGGCCGGAAGGCAAACGCGCGCTAGTCAGAAACTCTGACGTTCTCTCTCGAAGTCTTAGGTTTTAGGTCATCACTTGTATTAGTGGTGTATGACACTCTATATTTACCACTCTATATTTGTCCCTTTGGGGAATCCTAAATGAGAAAATTGAAAAATCCAAATTTTTTGGAACTTACTTATACACAATCCGTGCTGCATCTGTAATAGATGCAATTATACAGGCAATTAGCAATTATGAATTATGGCAATTAGTACATCTTTTTGGCATATCATGAGCGCTACGAATGTAGCGATCTTCTGAACATCGTAATGTAGGTCTTCGTAAGTAGATGAAGTGAGCGGAGCTTAATCGGATCTGACCAATCGGCGATTAGCGTAATTTTAGGCACATTATCATACAATTCTTGAAGTCTGTACCCGCTTTGACGGCTGCAAAGTCCTTATTCTGCTTTGCCAGGAAAGTATAAGAATAATAAAATGAATAATTCTCTAGAAGTCACTGGAACTTCGACATAAATACTACCCTTCTTCATTTGCATTAAACGCGGGTCTAAGAATATATTCTGGTAGAAAATTTTAAGCTGAAATTAGGATGGACAGAAAAGTAGCTTTAAATAACAGTTAAAACTTAGGATAAACCTTACAGAGTTTTAAACAACTGTAGTAAACAAATCCGCTTTCTGTCCAAATGCACATTCAGTATAACCATTTAAATATGCGTTTCTATATTTTTAAAGCGTGCTAGTATTTGAACTGATTGTTTTTTTTCTTATTTTTGTGAAAGAATCTTTTTTTCCTTTATTACAACTAAACGTGGATTATCTCATAGATGTATTAACAATCAAACAGACATGTATACATGATCTTCAAGTGGCTTTCCAAATGGCACGTATAGTCATATATCCAGCCTTACAATCTAATGTAAGGCGATGATTATTTTTGAACAATGGTGCAGTCATAGTTAGTCCCTTAGTCTCTTTCTAGTCTTTGTTTCAATGAAATAAAGATCTCTTTTAATTATCTCTGTTAATCTGTTGGATAGTTAATCTGTAGAAACCTAATATTTAAGGGATAGTTAACCTGACTAGAAAATTTTTAAAGTGTCAGCGACAAGTACCAGTGAATTGCTTTTCTACCAATAATGGAACAGACATCTATTGTGTACTTTGACGTCGTAGGATGTTCCATGTATCTGTCCTTGTGAAACAAAGCAAATATGCATATATAAAGATGGAAAGTTTGCCAGCTATTTAAGGATTAGAGGTCTAACAAGCAAAGAGGACAAGTTCAGTCTGTCAGAGATTAGCATAAAAATTGCTGAACGTTCCCAGCGGTGGGAGGAGAACGAGAAGAAACTACAGCACACTGGTCTGTAAACCTGTTCTTATAAAATAAGTAAGTAAAAGAACAAGCTTCTACAATAATGATTTTTGATTTGAAATGACATTATTGATTTACGCTATTAAATTCTTCTTCCTGTGAGCAATAGAAATCTGTCTTGCTTTAACTGATATGTTTTTCTTTTTCTGATCAGGAAGTTTTTGTTGAAATTTAAACATCTAAAGAAGGTAGAACTTTAGGAAATGCATCAATATAATCGATTCTGAAACTCTAAAAACGAGGTACATAATGTTTTATACGTGCTTTGCAGAGTTAAAGGTGTAAAATAATTTCTTTCGACTATTTTCTTTTCATGTATGTATAAAAATTATAAATATTCCTGTGTTTTCTTTAACATACTGTTGTAAAAATAAGTACAGTGAAGCATATCATGAGAGTGTTTCTTCTGTAAGTAACCATTACTCGTAAACACATTAAATAAATATTGCAATTGAACATAACCTCTTAAAATGACTATAAAATCGAGACGATCTGGAACTGCAGAAAGTTGCTTTAGAGAGAATTCATTGCGTTTCATTTCTCTTGTTATTATACATTGCTAAAGTGTTCTAGTATACTGTAAAGTACTCGAATAAAATCCTGATTTAAAGCAAATTAAAATCTTCATTTCTACGATGCAAGAGAATCAGTTGTGATGTCATAAAAATATCATGCATTGTCGCAATGAATCTTCCAAAATAAAAAAAAAAATTCCCAAAATAAAAAAAAAATATATGATTTACGTTTTTAAATATTGTATATACATTTTATATCTATAGCAAATATCGTAAATAAACTCCTTAAACAAATCAGCATGCAGAAAAACTATTTGATTCATTAAATTCGAAGTAACATATCTAACTTTAGTTAAAGGTGTATCTCTTATTTTCGTAGAAGCGTATCGCATTAAAATAATCTGTCTTAATTTTGAGAATAATGAGCCAATTATGATCACATTTATAAGGCAATATTTAAATCATGAATCGAGAAATATTTCTTAATTATTATCGAGAAATATTTCTTAAATGATCCGATGATATCTTCTTGGAAACATCAATATTTCTTTAAAGGTTTTTAATGTTTAGCAACAAAATATCTGTATTTTAGTATAGCAATATGAATTTACTTAAAAATTGCAGCAATCAAATTTGATCAGTTTATTTAATTTTAATTTAGCTTTTCATTGGAACATTAAGAGTTAAATGAAGCAAACTTTAAAATTACGCAGTTATATATTTTTCATTGATATATTTCTTTCCCATTTGAAAGAAAAATTTTTACTGAATTAAAAGCTAATGAGATCAACATTTTTAGTTCATTGTCTAATGGACGCTGAGAGTGAAAACGTTTTAACATATATTTGTTTCTGATAAAAGCTGTTTATATTTCTCTTATAAATTCAAAATAATCATAAAAAGAAAATTTAATTAATATTAAGTTTAATTTGTACTATAAACGTTACCACGTATAATCCGTTACAACGCGAATTTATAAAATTAATTTTTAATGACTTCTCGTTAATGCATACTCTTTTGCTGAATGAAAATATAATGCCAGTGTTTACTGAAATATTTAATCAAAATCCTTTCTCACTATGGGCTTAACAGCGAGTCGCTGAACATTCGTAATTCGATGGGAGGTTCGAATCCTACGAACGGGCTGGCTGCATAGGCGTTTTCCTAGTTTTTCTCATGTATACGTGTATACCAGCCAGTTTCCCTTAGAAAGTCCCCCACGAAGGAATCCCCTCTTCAGGCAGATAGGCCTCGAGTGCTTAGCCGTAATAAAATAAACCAACCAACCAACCAACTTTTCTCACTATATATCTAAATAAAAAAATATTAAAAAAAGATTCAGACGCGTTAAAAATAATGTACATTGTTTTAACCCTTTGAAGGGCACCGGTATATAATATATACCGGTTGTTTTGTTAATTTTTTAACCTCCGAAAAAATGCTAATTTTTCTGCACCAAAGCTATAATCTTAAGTGTCTAGTGTTTCCTTTCAATTCTAAATGGTAGCATCACCTTATGAATGCTCAATATTTTGCAGTTATGAAATTAATATACCTCTTTGCAAGGTATCATGTTGGAAGATTGATAAATTCTATTGGAGGGAAAGAAAAAATTCAAAATCTGCAAATATATGACGTACACATGCTGAATCTTATATATTTACTTCATTTTTGTCAGAAATGATAATTAACAGAAGATTATTTATACGATTTTAAAACCGGTATATTATATATACCGGCGCCCACACTGAGGGTACCACGCCAATAGATGGCAGCACGAGTCTTCTCCTTTTATACTCTGTGACATGACAGAATTTCTTTATTATTATAACAGTTTATGATATAATAATTTTTCATGATTAATTTATAAGTTGTTTAGGATTCAATATTATGTTCATGGAGGAATGGGGAGTTTATTGACCCTGCGCTAGGACTGAATACAAGTATATTAGTTTTATTTATTCTTTGTGTACTCAGCTCGAGTTTCATTCGTCTGTGTTTAGCTAAAATTTTTATTTCAGCACTTACCTCTTTCCCAAGAGAAAAGACTCATCGATTTCAAAATTGCCATCTGGGGTCAAAAAACTTTACACAATTGTGGGGGTTAAATGTGGCATGTTAGCCCCCAAAAGATACCCAGTTGCTTCGTGATTTCCAAAATTCTAGAATGCAAGGAAAATGAAAGAGGTGATTGACAACTAATTTGTCATTCGGGAGTCGCGCCTTTTTCCTTTGTGAGGTGTGATAAGATCACACAAAGGGAAAGCTCACTTAAAATGGAAATGTACTTAAGGTCTATCTCATAGCATAATCACAAAAACTGCTGCTTTGAAAGCATGCTTTTATTCTTTAGGGAAATTCTTTGTTAATTTCAGATGAAAGACTAGAGAACACGAGAGAAATCTGCGCTCTGGTTGATACAAATAGGTTGTTTCTGAAATAAATTTTGACAGTTGGTGAAAGAAGGAAAAATATTTCTAAGGCCCGTTTTTAGATGCAAACTAAAATTTATCCAAAAGTTGAAAAGGAGCCCCTATGAAGCCAAAGGGGTTGAAAATCAGAATAAGACCTTTCAAGTGTATCAAATAATAAAATTGTTTAACGGCGTTTCTTCCTGAACAAAAAGATACATTACAACTATATTTACAAAAAATAAAAAAGGGACCCTTACGGTCCTTGATGATCTTAAGTGTGTGTGCGTCGAGGGGGGGGGGCGATTCTTCGTATCATAGTATGAAGCATGGTTGTTTTTTCACATATTATCTAAAGTATAAAATACAACTTCAAAAATGCAACATACTTTCTCAGCTGAGTCGGCCGTAGTGCTTCATTTTTCAATTTTTTTAATTTTCGGCTGAGTTACATCTGCTTGTAATATTATACTAGTTCAGTTACAGCATGATACGATTTACACTGCAGTGTTATATTTGCTAAATTTTTTTATAAAATAATATTGAATTTAAATCAAGTTGAAAAGCATTTTACCCATATTTTACATAAGTATGTTCAGCTGGGTTGCTTCATCAAAGTGCATAAAAAACATAAATTTTATTTTTGAAATTTCTAAATTTCTGCCGAAATTTTTTAAAAAAAAATTTGTCTTTAGACTTTACATAACTGTATTCAAGCACTTCACCACTGCAGACGCACATCAAAAGTACCCAAAATTAATTTTAAAAACAAAGATTAAGCTAGTTGGCAGCTACCTGGAAATAATGTCCTAGAGGGGCGCCGGTATAAAATATATACCGGCTCTCAAAATTCGGGATTTCGCTCTAGATTTTTTTTAAGTCTCAATTTTGTGTCCTTAGGGTCCATAAGTTATATTTCATGCAAAATTTTACCACAGTTAAAATTGTTTTATATACCGCCCCTCAAAGGGTTAAACAACGAAATTTGTTTGAAAGGCACAAATTAAAGCAGTAAACTTTATCTATTTTTACATGATCCGATATGACAGAAAGCTGAACTAGAAAATACTTCTTTATTTACATTTACGCTGTCCCAAAAAATTGAATTCCCAAATCGAACTTCAGTCCGACACATTTTTTTGCTAGTAAACCATGGATTTACTAACGATACTGCGGTACTAGTGGTATAGTTCGACCGCTTCATCCGCGACCATGAGCGCAAACACGCATGCGCTGTTCGGACCGAGTTATTCTTAAAATAGAGTGGAAGAATGGGAACTTTCTTTCTCTCCAGCATAGATCTTTCCAGAGAAGAGAAGAACTTTCACGTCGCTGCAAGTAATAACGTCCCTTTTGGACGAGTCTATGTGTTTTGGCAGAATGCCAACCAGGGTTGCGCTTGAGACGGTCGAACTAGTTGTAAGGGCAATTTTGATGCAGAAAGTCATGGAACTCGACTTCTACTGCCTGTAGACTTAAATCAGATTTCTTATTCTAGTCTGACTTTTCTTAAATATATTTGTTCACAACGGCTTCAAGTTGGCGATACAACGTGAAATTTAGCATGAACATTATCATGACAAATTAGGAAGGAAGTATGCTTAGCACACGACGCTATGATAAAACTGTTTTTGCTTAAGTCTTAATATTAGCTTCATGCACAGTTCATTCGCCTAAATTGCTGTCACGCGAAAAAAGAATCACAGTTATTAATAATACTTCCTCTAATACTTCTGCCTCAGAATTACAAAGAATAAACGGAAAAAGAATGTCCCTAACAACACAAATCATTTTAAGCATGTTTTTTCGATTTTTATTTGGGTACACTTTAATTTGAGGCATCCCGTTGTTACTATATCCTTGTTCATATTGAAAAATAGCCGATTTTTTAATGTATGCATTGTTCTAGCAAAGATCCTACTCGAGAATCTTAAAACTGTATGTTTACCTGCATTGTGATGAAATCTGATGTATCATGGGTGCATCCTTCCTTTTTACTCACTGTTCATAAGCTGCTATGTGTAATTTTTCATGTAAAGTAGGAAATGCTGCCTTTATAGCTTAAGCATTGTATAAAGCTTCTGTCATTCTTGCAAATGTTGTTTCAAAATGTTTTGTGAAAGTACTTTAAAAAATAAAGATTTTTTGTATGTCTGTAATTAAAAAATGTATGTAAAATTGTTTTAAAAAATATCATTTTCATAATAAAAATTCAGAAAAGCGGAATTTTTTGTCCGTTACTTTATTAGCTATTTGTATTTTATGATTTTAGCTAATTAAGTTTTAGAGTTTGAGAATTTTTCAGTCGACTTAGTTCCGTTTTGAAGAATGAATCAAACATAACATATGTTCTTTCAAAGTCAAACCCAGGTTTAAAAAGAAAGGCTAGATCATTCCTTTGTATGACACCTCGTCGAAGCGATCCTCGTAGTGGGAGTTAACAGAAAGCAGTCTGATGTCACCATGTTGCATTTGCTCTGACTTCGCCAGTTTAAAACTATCTGAACATCCCAAATTACCATTAATCATGTATATTGTTTTCTGGTTAAGCAGTGTGAAACTGGTGTCCCACTGGCCATATGCGGCCTTCAAAGTAATTTTATGCTGCCTGTGAATATATTTCTCGTAAATTAATTAGCATTATTATGACGAGAACATGAAGAAAAAAGTTTAAGATTTCAATCATGAAATAAGCTTAACTTTCCGGAAAATCTAGAAATAGGGCTAATTACTTTACACTGTGATATAAATTTTGTTCAAAGATTTTAGAATGTCAGTCTTTTTAATTTTTATTAGTACTTATCAAAAGATAAATATCTTATGTTACGAATTTTTGCAGTAATAATTCTCCCTTTGTTTTTGAGTACATTTACATCAGAACAGCTTTTTTTTCCATGGATGAAAATTAATAACTCTACGAGAAAAGCCAGACTGCCAATGAGTATTTACAATTTTTGGTAATACCTTTTAATAATTTTCCTCCAAGATTACAAATTTCATGAAAATATAAATGTCGTGAGGTGGTGTAGCTGAAAGGTGTGGTAAAAAACAAATAATTTACATACAAATATTATTTTTTCTATTTTAGATAATAGAAAAATCTAATAAATAAAAGAAAGAGAATAAATAGGTTGTCATTATTTATTCTCAAGTTTTGTCCCTCTTGGGAAGCTTTCGTATATTTCTTTTTAGTTTAAATTAAAAGTAAGTTACTAAGTAGTTCAATGTATTACAAATAGTTGAATAAATGCCAGTCAAATTTTAATATTCATCTGTCTGTTTGACTTCCAGACTGGGACCACCAGAAATGTCTTGCAAATACTAACTTTTAGATTTCAGCAAATATAAGTATAAATTTGATATTTTTTCCGTTATTTTTATTCTTATTTTTTTACAAATATCAAGTGAAGAGTTTTTAATTAACAAATTTTGGTTTCATTAAGACACAATAACACACCGAACAAATACTAATTCAGAAGTCAAAAAACAAAAATCAGCGCGTACTCGTTCATTTGCGCTTTTGCAGCTGACGATGGTGGTTCGGTAAAACCATCGAAACTAGTCCTGTGAAAATTTGAAAATATAACGCAGATATTTTTTGTTTGACTTCTGTATTACATTTTGGTTTGTTCAAAAAAGAAAAAATCCCACTTTTTTAGTCCAAAGGGCCTTTGTCTCTGAAGGACTATTGTTTTCGTTTTGCGATTTTGCGTCGGAACTTTATAAACGGCGTATCACTTTTCAAATCATTGCCACCAAATACTATCACCCTGTGTTATATTTGAAGAAATTAAATAATGAAGAATCTCCATAAATGTATGTATGTTTCTTTCATTGTGATAAAACAACGGTACCTAAAGCTATCCAATTTCGAATGACGTAATCCTACTGCGAATATGGGCATCTGAAAGCCCAAATTTAAATTTGGAATTTGTTTTATTATCGATTTCATATTTTGTAAAACTTAAAGGAATTTTTTATTAACAAACTCTAGGATTGCAAAGCGAGCAATGGCAATACTCTACGGGGGAAAAATACTTTTTTTTATCTCCAGCGCGCGGAACTGGGTATCGGAAATTCTAAAGCTAGGCTCATTTTAAAATTATTTTCTGACATTGCTGTTCAACTGAATTTTATGGTTTAAGTGCAAAGAACATAATATTTAATAAATAAAGGTAACACAAAAGATGTTAAAAAAACTGACTTTGGACGTAATTTAAAATCTAAAA